AAAAGAACAAGGGCATAGCGTGTGCAAAATAGCAAGAACAAAGGCCTTGCGTGTGCAAAAATATAAAGAACAAGGGCCTAGCGTATGCAAAATTGCAAGAACAAGGGCCTAGCGTGTGCAAAATTGCAAGAACAAGGGCCTAGCAAGTGCAAAATAGCAAGAACAAGGGCCTAGCGTGTGCAAAATAAAACGAACAAGGGTCTAGCATGTGCAAAATTGCAAGAACAAGGGCCTAGCGTGTGCAAATAAAAAAGAACAAGGGCCTCGCATGTGCAAAAAATCAAGAACAAGGGCCTAGCGTTCGCGAAATAGCAAGAACAAGGGCCTAGCGTGTTCAAAATAAAAAGAACAAGGGCCTAGCGTGTGCAAAATTGCAAGAACAAGGGCCTAGCGAGTGCAAAATAGCAAGAGCAAGGGCCTAGCGTGTGCAAAAAATCAAGAACAAGAGCCTAGCGTTCGCGAAATAGCAAGAACAAGGGCCTAGCGTGTTCAAAATAAAAAGAGCAAGGGCCTAGCGTGTGCAAAATTGCAAGAACAAGGGCCTAGCGAGTGCAAAATAGCAAGATCAAGGGCCTAGCGTGTGCAAAAAATCAAGAACAAGGGCCTAGCGTTCGCGAAATAGCAAGAACAAGGGCCTAGCGTGTTCAAAATAAAAAGAGCAAGGGCCTAGCGTGTGCAAAATTGCAAGAACAAGGGCCTAGCGAGTACAAAATAGCAAGAACAAGGGCATAGCGTGTGCAAAATAAAACGAACAAGGGTCTAGCATGTGCAAAATTGCAAGAGCAAGGGCCTAGCGTGTGCAAAATAACAACAACAAGGCCATAGCGTGTGCAAAATAGCAAGAACAAGGGCCTAGCGTGTGCAAAAAAAAAAGAACAAGGGCCTAGCGTGTGCAAAATTGCAAGAATAAGGGCCTAGCGTGTGCAAAATTGCAACAACAAGGGCCTAGCGAGTACAAAATAGCAAGAACAAGGGCCTAGCGTGTGCAAAATAGAACGAACAAGGGTCTAGCATGTGCAAAATTGCAAGAGCAAGGGCCTAGCGTGTGCAAAATAAAAAGAACAAGGCCCTAGCGTGTGCAAAATAGCAAGAACAAGGGCCTAGCGTGTGCAAAATAAAAAGAACAAGGGCCTAGCGTGTGCAAAATAAAAAGAACAAGGGCCTAGCGTGTGCAAAATTGCAAGAACAAGGGCCTAGCGTGCTCAAAATTGCAAGAACAAGGGCCTAGCGAGTGCAAAATAGCAAGAACAAGGGCCTAGCGTGTGCAAAATAAAACGAACGAGGGTCTAGCATGTGCAAAATTGCAAGAACAAGGGCCTAGCCTGTGCAAAATTGCAAGAACAAGGGCCTAGCGAGTACAAAATAGCAAGAACAAGGGCCTAGCGTGTGCAAAATAAAACAAACAAGGGTCTAGCATGTGCAAAATTGCAAGAGCAAGGGCCTAGCGTGTGCAAAAAAAAAACAACAAGGGCCTAGCGTGTGCAAAATTGCAAGAACAAGGGCCTAGCGTTCGCAAAATAGCAAGAACAAGGGCCTAGCCTGTTCAAAATATAAAGAACAAGGGTTTTGCATGTGCAAAATTGCAAGAGCAAGGGCCTAGCGTGTGCAAAATAAAAAGAACAAGGGCATAGCGTGTGCAAAATAGCAAGAACAAGGGCCTAGCGTGTGCAAAATTGCAAGAACAAGGGCCTAGCGTGTGCAAAATTGCAAGAACAAGGGCCTAGCGTGTGCAACATTGCAAGAAGAAGGGCCTAGCGAGTACAAAATAGCAAGAGCAAGGGCCTAGCATGTGCAAAAAATCAAGAACAAGGGCCTAGCGTGCGCGAAATAGCAAGAGCAAGGGCCTTGCGTGTGCAAAATAAAAAGAACAAGGGTCTAGGATGTGCAAAATTGCAAGAACAAGGGCCTAGGGTGTGCAAAAAATCAAGAACAAGGGCCTAGCGTTCGCGAACTAGCAAGAACAAGGGCCTAGCGTGTGCAAAATAAAACGAACAAGGGTCTAGCATGTGCAAAATTGCAATAACAAGGGCCTAGCGTGTGCATAATAAAAAGAACAAGGGCATAGCGTGTGCAGAATAGCAAGAACAAGGGCCTAGCGTGTGCAAAATAAAAAGAACAAGGGCCTAGTGTGTGCAAAAGAAAAAGAACAAGGGCCTAGCGTGTGCAAAATTGCAAGAACAATGGCCTAGTGTGTGCAAAATTGCAAGAACAAGGGCCTAGCGAGTGCAAAATAGCAAGAGCAAGGGCCTAGCGTGTGCAAAAAATCAAGAACAAGGGCCTAGCGTTCGCGAAATAGCAAGAACAAGGGCCTAGCGTGTGCAAAATAAAACGATCAAGGGTCTTACATGTGCAAAATTGCAAGAACAAGGGCCTAGCGTGTGCAAAAAAAAAAGAACAAGGGCATAGCGTGTGCAGAATAGCAAGAACAAGGGTCTACCGTGTGCAAAATAAAAAGAACAAGGGCCTAGCGCGTACAAAATAAAAAGAGCAGGGGCCTAGCGTGTGCAAAATTGCAAGAACAAGGGCCTAGCGTGTGCAAAATTGCAAGAACAAGGGCCTAGCGAGTGCAAAATAGCAAGAGCAAGGGCCTAGCGTGTGCAAAAAATCAAGAACAAGGGCCTAGCGTTCTCGAAATAGCAAGAACAAGGGCCTAGCATGTGCAAAAAAAAAAGAACAAGGGTCTAGCATGTGCAAAATAAAAAGAACAAGGGCATAGCGTGTGCAAAATAAAAAGAACAAGGGCGTAGCGTGTGCAAAATAAAAAGAACAAAAGCCTAGCGTGTGCAAAATAAAAAGAACAAGGGCCTAGCGTGTGCAAAATTGCAAGAACAAGGGCCTAGCGTGTGCAACATTGCAAGAAGAAGGGCCTAGCGAGTACAAAATAGCAAGAGCAAGGGCCTAGCATGTGCAAAAAATCAAGAACAAGGGCCTAGCGTTCGCGAAATAGCAAGAGCAATGGCCTAGCGTGTGCAAAATAAAAAGAACAAGGGTCTAGCATGTGCAAAATTGCAAGAACAAGGGCCTAGCGTGTGCAAAATAAAAAGAACAAGGGCATAGCGTGTGCAAAATAGCAAGAACAAGGGCATAGTGTGTGCAAAATAAAAAGAACAAGGGCCTAGCGTGTGCAAAATAAAAAGAACAAGGGCCTAGCGTGTGCAAAATTGCAAGAACAAGGGCCTAGCGTGTGCAAAATTGCAAGAACAAGGGCCTAGCGAGTGCAAAATAGCAAGAACAAGGGCCTAGCATGTGCAAAAAAATCAAGAACAAGGGCCAAGCCTTCGCGAAATAGCAAGAACAAGGGCCTAGCGTGTGCAAAATAAAAAGAACAAAGGTCTAGCATGTGCAAAATTGCAAGAACAAGGGCCTAGCGTGTGCAAAATAAAAAGAACAAGGGCATAGCGTGTGCAAAATAGCAAAGACAAGGGCCTAGCGTGTGCAAAATAAAAAGAACAAGGGCCTAGCGTGTGCAAAATAAAAAGATCAAGAGCCTAGCGTGTGCAAAATAAAAAGAACAACGGCCTAGCGTGTGCAACATTGCAAGAAGAACGGCCTAGCGAGTACAAAATAGCAAGAGCTGTTAAGTCTAAGTACTATGCGGAAGCGATTAACTTAGAACCACAAACATAAGCTAGGCAACACTTAACATCACTTGTGAAACAAGCGAGTAGTTATGCCACACTTAGTTTGCAGAATGAGCGTTCTGGTAGAGCAGAGTTTCGGCAGAAGTTCGTTGTGTATCTACTCTCGTCAATACGTAGTAGTAGATTGTAAGCTTGAAAATCATGAAAGCATTGTTGATAAAAGCAAATACAAGCACACATATAAGAGAAGTCCTAGGTGCACAAAGGAGAACACACAAAACAGTTGTCTAACTGTCGTCCAGGTCTTCGCTTTGCTGTCATGAAAACGGTTGTAAAACTGCTTCAGAATTTGGCTTGATCTGCCTCTGTAGAATAACTGTCTTCCACTGCACTGCTGCCAAATTCTCCTGCTGACTCCCCTCGTGAACATTCATGATCGCTCGTGTACAAATCATGAGCACTCGTGTGGGTTTACCGTTTTCTTCAGTTACAAACGGACTTTACCGTTTTGTGCCCCTGTCGAAATAATGACGCAAAGCAGCGCGACTTTCTGGCGAATTTTCCTGCTCGCCTGGTCAGCGCGAAATCCCGTTAGTCAACCGTAAAATCTCGCGTGCCCCACGTGCCCCACGTGCCCCTCATCACGACCGAGATATTTCTCGGTCGTGCAGGACAAGACGATCGCTGACGCGATCGTGCGTTGTCCTGCGCGTGACGGAGCGATCATGTCGCTCCGTCCTGTATCGATCGTGCGCACTGTGCACGATCGAAACAGTGGCGACACACGCGTGGGCCCTGCACGACCACACGCGCGTGTCAGGACCCCACGCGCGGGTCCTGACTTCACGCACTTTTTCATTGACCAGCGCGAAATGGTCAACGAGGCTGGTCAAACAATCGAGCCCCTAACTCAACACACTCGACACTCTCAACAGCACACATGAAAACAATTCGACATTCATGAAACACAGTGCATTCATGAAGCACAGAAAATTCATGAAACACAGACAGATGAGCAAACATGAACGCACATGAACGAACATGTAAACACATGAACGCTCATGAAGCTTGCACGAACAGCACGCGAATTGACATGAACGCGCGAAGGCTCATGAAAGCACATGATCACTCGGAGCTTCACGCACATTCATGACACGACACAAACAACACGAAATTCACACGAACAATCATGAAAACGCATGAATGGAACCTCACACAAAAAATGCACATAACTTATGAACCGCTAAGGCGATTCATAAACCGTAAACGCCAGAATGAAAATCACACAAATGCACATTCCACATCATACAAAATACCTCAAAACAAATACCTTCAAGTTTCACATCACTCGACGAATAGGCGGCAGGTTGACGTGCAAAATACGTTTTGCACCCAACAAACTCCCCCTCAACCTGACGGCTATTCAACTCCCTCTACCATCTCCTCAATGTCGACCGGCTCTGCTATATTGCCGATCCCGACTCCAGTTTTAGGGAAGGTAATCTTATGTTCCCCCACACCTTCAGCTCCAATGTCATCGGTTGCTTGCAGCTTCACATAGGTAGTACCGTTACCACCCAAGGTAATTTTGGCTTCCTGCAAGGTCCGCTTCACCTCAGGTTCCCCCATCACCAGATTCCCATCATCTACAATACTTGTCACATTCAGCTCCATTATTTTCTCCTTCATAGCTGCATCCTTCAGCTGCACCGAGACCTCACATTTCTGCTGCTCACGAGTATCACTCTTGTGAACTCCCTTCTCCTTGTTCACAGCAGCGCCTTTCACTTCACTCCCCCTGGATTCTGCACCCGTCTTCCTATCAGCACCGGATGCACCTTTCTTTTCAGCTGCTGCCAGTCGAGCTTTGACTTGGTGCAACTCCTGCACTAGCAGCTCCACAGTGGTTTTCAGCTCCTTAATCGTCCCAGCAGCCGCCGCAGCACATTCTCCCTTGCAGCCGCAGCTCTCCTTCTCCTTCTCAGGTGCCACCTCACTCCATGGAACCACCGGCACTTGCCACAGCTCATCACGAAGATCCTTGGCCTCATGCAGGTCCCACAGCACACGGTGACCGAGCTGCCCCTTGAAGGTTTCAGCTCCATTAGTTGCTGTACACACGCCTGCAAGCCCCATCTTCCTAAGGGAAATCAGATTCCCTTTCAGCTCTGGCACCAAAAACACATCTTCTAGGACGATTGGCTTCCCATCAGCTCCCTTGAAGGCTGCTTTGCCGACACCCATCACTCTCATCTTGTGCCCGCTCCCTGAATTCATCTCATTGATGCTCGCCACACCAATTTTGTCTAGCAGGTCCGCCCTTGGGGTCATATGATAAGCTGCTCCGGAGTCTAGGATCCATGTGTTGAGGGGATGAGGCTCTGCTCCCTCCTTGGCAGACGCCTTCTCATTTCCCCTACTCCCTTGCACGTGGAAGAACTGTCCAGGAGCACGCTCATAACCGTCTTCCCGTTCATTTGCGGTCTCTGCTACATAACCAACGCCATGAGGTTGATTCTTCTCGCCATCCTCATGCTCGGGGGTCCACCACTTGGGCCGCTTCCAGCACTTCACCCAAGTATGTCCCGGCTTCTTGCAATACCAGCAGGTGCCCTTGAATCCGCGGTAGCCACTCTCGTCATTCTCGTTAGTGGCCTCTTCTTCATCATCACTCCTGCTGCTCGGCTTCTTGTTGTCTCGTCCGCTTCCATGATGTCTTCGTTCACCACGTCCCCGGTCATTCCCCTTGCGCCATCTACTGCCTTGCATGCCATAGCCGCCGTCGCCGTCTTGGTTGTAGTTCAGCTGCCTCCTCCTGAAGTCCTCCTCCAAGACCTTGGTTCGCACCCACTCAAGGGTCCACAACTTCTCATTCTGAGGAAGGCTTAGGCCACTCGTGAATTGCAGCCATGACTCGGGCAGCAGTGATAGCATTCGTAGACACTTTGTTTGCTCCGGGTAGGTGATGCCCGCAATCTGCAATTTCGCGTACAGCTCCCGCATCTTGTCGAGAACCGGTTGAATCGGCTCCCCCTCACTCAGGCGCAATGCCGCCAACTCACGCTCCAGCATGAGCGTTGCAACCACCGAGGTTGGTGCGTGCAACTCCTTCAGCACCTTCCACGCTCGTGGCCCGCAATCAACTTCTTCCAGCAGATGCATTACGTGTGACCGCTGGTTCAGCTCCAAACTTTGTGAGAGAAGGTAGTAGCCGGCAGTAGCACGCTCGTCCCACTCCTCTTGCAGGTTGACATCGTCCGGCCTCTTCTCGACGCCCGTCATCAGCTTCAACAAGCCCACTTGCCGAAAATACAGCTGCATTTTCCACGCCCAATCGTCGTACCCATTGCCGTTGAACTTGTCGACGGTGAAGTTCTTAAGCACCTCTCTCAATAGTGAGCCCTGGCTGATCCGCACTCCCCTTGGCGCTGAACCTCCAGTGTCTTGGCTTCCACTATTGGCACGTGCAATAGAACCTTCCGTTCCGCCCGACTCCATGGTGTTCTAACGACAAGAAGTCCAAAAGGACTTAGAACCAGCTCTGATACCACGTGTTAAGTCTAAGTACTATGCGGAAGCGATTAACTTAGAACCACAAACATAAGCTAGGCAACACTTAACATCACTTGTGAAACAAGCGAGTAGTTATGCCACACTTAGTTTGCAGAATGAGCGTTCTGGTAGAGCAGAGTTTCGGCAGAAGTTCGTTGTGTATCTACTCTCGTCAATATGTAGTAGTAGATTGTAAGCTTGAAAATCATGAAAGCATTGTTGATAAAAGCAAATACAAGCACACATATAAGAGAAGTCCTAGGTGCACAAAGGAGAACACACAAAACAGTTGTCTAACTGTCGTCCAGGTCTTCGCTTTGCTGTCATGAAAACGGTTGTAAAACTGCTTCAGAATTTGGCTTGATCTGCCTCTGTAGAATAACTGTCTTCCACTGCACTGCTGCCAAATTCTCCTGCTGACTCCCCTCGTGAACATTCATGATCGCTCGTGTACAAATCATGAGCACTCGTGTGGGTTTACCGTTTTCTTCAGTTACAAACGGACTTTACCGTTTTGTGCCCCTGTCGAAATAATGACGCAAAGCAGCGCGACTTTCTGGCGAATTTTCCTGCTCGCCTGGTCAGCGCGAAATCCCGTTAGTCAACCGTAAAATCTCGCGTGCCCCACGTGCCCCACGTGCCCCTCATCACGACCGAGATATTTCTCGGTCGTGCAGGACAAGACGATCGCTGACGCGATCGTGCGTTGTCCTGCGCGTGACGGAGCGATCATGTCGCTCCGTCCTGTATCGATCGTGCGCACTGTGCACGATCGAAACAGTGGCGACACACGCGTGGGCCCTGCACGACCACACGCGCGTGTCAGGACCCCACGCGCGGGTCCTGACTTCGCGCACTTTTTCATTGACCAGCGCGAAATGGTCAACGAGGCTGGTCAAACAATCGAGCCCCTAACTCAACACACTCGACACTCTCAACAGCACACATGAAAACAATTCGACATTCATGAAACACAGTGCATTCATGAAGCACAGAAAATTCATGAAACACAGACAGATGAGCAAACATGAACGCACATGAACGAACATGTAAACACATGAACGCTCATGAAGCTTGCACGAACAGCACGCGAATTGACATGAACGCGCGAAGGCTCATGAAAGCACATGATCACTCGGAGCTTCACGCACATTCATGACACGACACAAACAACACGAAATTCACACGAACAATCATGAAAACGCATGAATGGAACCTCACACAAAAAATGCACATAACTTATGAACCGCTAAGGCGATTCATAAACCGTAAACGCCAGAATGAAAATCACACAAATGCACATTCCACATCATACAAAATACCTCAAAACAAATACCTTCAAGTTTCACATCACTCGACGAATAGGCGGCAGGTTGACGTGCAAAATACGTTTTGCACCCAACAAGAGCAAGGGCCTAGCATGTGCAAAAAATCAAGAACAAGGGCCTAGCGTTCGCGAAATAGCAAGAACAGGGGCCTAGCATGTGCAAAATAAAAAGAACAAGGGTCTAGCATGTGCAAAATTGCAAGAACAAGGGCCTAGCGTGTGCAAAATAAAAAGAACAAGGGCATAGCGTGTGCAAAATAGAAAGAACAAGGGCGTAGCGTGTGCAAAATAAAAAGAACAAGGGCATATCGTGTGCAAAAAATCAAGAACAAGGGCCTAGCGTTCGCGAAATAGCAAGAACAAGGGCCTAGCATGTGCAAAATAAAAAGAACAAGGGTCTAGCATGTGCAAAATTGCAAGAACAAGGGCCTAGCGTGTGCAAAATAAAAAGAACAAGGGCATAGCGTGTGCAAAATAGAAAGAACAAGGGCGTAGCGTGTGCAAAATAAAAAGAAAAAGAGCCTAGCGTGTGCAAAATAAAAAGAACAAGGGCCTAGCATGTGCAAAATTGCAAGAACAAGGGCCTAGCGTGTGCAAAATCGCAAGAACAAGGGCCTAGCGAGTGCAAAATAGCAAGAGCAAGGGCCTAGTATGTGCAAAAAATCAAGAACAAGGGCCTAGCGTTCGCGAAATAGCAAGAACAAGGGCCTAGCGTGTGCAAAATAAAAAGAAAAAGGGTCTAGCATGTGCAAAATTGCAAGAACAAGGGCCTAGCATGTGCAAAAGAAAAAGAACAAGGGCATAGCGTGTGCAAAATAGCAAGATTAAGGGCCTAGCGTGTGCAAAATAAAAAGAACAAGGGCTTTCTCCTCCTGTATAGTGGTTCTTCTCCTGTAGAGTGTCCACAGCCTCTCCTCCTGAGTCCTCCCTTCCTGTGCTTACCGACCCAGAGTCGGACTCCCTTCCTGTGCTTACCCTAAACCCTTGCTCTTGCTATTTTGTACTCGCTAGGCCCTTGTTCTTGCAATTTTGCACACGCTAGGCCCTTGTTCTTGCAATTTTGCACACGCTAGGCCCTTGTTCTTTTTATTTTGCACACGCTAGGCCCTTGTTCTTGCTATTTTGCACACGCTATGCCCTTGTTCTTTTTATTTTGCACACGCTAGGCCCTTGTTCTTGCAATTTTGCACATGCTAGACCCTTGTTCTTTTTATTTTGCACACGCTAGGCCCTTGTTCTTGCTTTTTCGCGAATGCTAGGCCCTTGTTCTTGATTTTTTGCACACGCTAGGCCCTTGCTCTTGCAATTTTGTACACGCTAGGCCCTTGTTCTTTTTATTTTGCACACGCTAGGCCCTTGTTCTTTTTTTTTTGCACACGCTAGGCCCTTGTTCTTGCTATTTTGCAAACGCTAGGACCTCGTTCTTGCTATTTTGCGAAAGCTAGGCCCTTGTTCTTGATTTTTTTCACACTCTAGGCCCTTGCTCTTGCTATTTTGCACTCGCTAGGCCCTTGTTCTTGCAATTTTGCACACGCTAGGCCCTTGTTCTTGCGATTTTGCACACGCTATGCCCTTGTTCTTTTTATTTTGCACACGCTAGGCCCTTGTTCTTTTTATTTTGCACACGCTAGGCCCTTGTTCTTGCTATTTTGCACACGCTAGGCCCTTGTTCTTATTATTTTGCACACGCTAGGCCCTTGTTCTTCCTATTTGGCACACGCTATGCCCTTGTTCTTTTTATTTTGCACACGCTAGGCCCTCGTTCTTTCAATTTTGCACATGCTAGACCGTTGTTCTTTTTATTTTGCACACGCTATGCCCTTGTTCTTGCTATTTCGCGAAACGCTAGGCCCGTGTTCTTGATTTTTTGCACACGCTAGGCCCTTGCTCTTGCTATTTTGCACTCGCTAGGCCCTTGTTCATGCAATTTTGCACACGCTAGGCCCTTGTTCTTTTTATTTTGCACACGCTAGGCCCTTGTTCTTTTTATTTTGCACACGCTAGGCCCTTGTTCTTTTTATTTTGCACACGCTAGGCCCTTGTTCTTGCTATTTTGCACACGCTATGCCCTTGTTCTTTTTATTTTGCACACGCTAGGCCCTTGTTCTTGCAATTTTGCACACGCTAGACCCTTGTTCTTTTTATTTTGCACACGCTAGGCCCTTGCTCTTGCTATTTCGCGAACGCTAGGCCCTTGTTCTTGATTTTTTGCACATGCTAGGCCCTTGCTCTTGCTATTTTGCACTCGCCAGGCCCTTGTTCTCGCAATTTTGCACACGCTTGGCCCTTGTTCTTTTTATTTTGCAC